GCTGCTTTCTCTGCTGAACGCAGCCATTTTGTTTCGATCATTTATTTGCAACTGGCCGCTAAGTCGGTATGTTACACGATACTGAGCATGCACACTATCGTAACCAATAAAATCTAGGCACAGTCGCCCTCCGCATTTCAGCACAATCCCTCGCCTATCTTGTAAGTTTATGCTCTGTCCCTATATTTCTATGTCCATGGGTTCTTATGGGCGCTTCCACTCTATCTTATCCTCTTTGATACGGGCAACAGCGCTCTGACACCGAATGCTGATTGGATATGTAGAAATTCAATTTCGATAATCTTGTATTTAACGTATATGTGCAGACGAATAGGGTGCATTCAGTACCACGACCGCTCACTGAGCGCTCAGTGAGCGGCTGTAGTACTGAATGCACTCATAGTAAAGCATCCCAATAATTCTGATTGGTTGATCCCCACTCTATTACTTTTCCAAAATTCCGTTTTCCGAAATCCGACAGTCATGGGACAACACTCTCATGGGACTCCAGCATCATGGGACTCCACCACGAGTTTTTCTATGTGCTATGGCCTTAACGGTGCGTTTGCGCGGATTGGTTGGGTCAGTTTTTCAAGACAAAACATATACGTTAACGAATAACGAGATGTTATTTCATCTTATTTATATTATTTTTATTAACTTGTACATGTTACAATACAGAAATAACAATTATTTTCAACGCTTTTCAATACGTCAAACCTACGGCAAACGTACTACGTTTAGGTGCGCGATATATTTTTGCGCAAAAGTAAATTAAAACTTTCTAGTTATACTTTTTTGATTGTTTTTTCTTAAACCAAGTAATCGCAATCTTTTCCAATACTGTTTTGTATTTGGATCTAATTCTTCCAAAGGTGGAGGAGGGCCAGTTCTAATATTCCATAACCAACTAGGATATTCAGAATCTGGCTTTAACTCGACGTCTTTTCCTCCCTCTTTATAAATATTTGTACCACATACATGAGTTAAGAGTCTGTTAACATCCGTTTCAATGGGCAATACTTTTTTTTCTACCGCAACTAATGTCTTCTTTAATTTCCTCACTCCTGGCCAGGTTGTTATGAAAAAAAGAAAGAGATATTATTTATAAAGTTACTTGCGATTTTTTTTCAATCTAATGCATGTTTTTAATACGAGATTGTGTATAGCTGCAGTTGTATTAGGCAAATTATTATGACGGTCATGATGACAGCCATTATGTAGGTGATAATCATCATTATCGATCGATATCATTCATCGATATACGAATTATTTTCTATTATATAGAAAATCATTTGTGTTTTTGAAGTATGCAGAGAATTTGTACTTTTCAAGTAAAGAATTTGTTTAATTGAAGCAGAAAATACTTATTCTAACCTCTTGTACTAAAGCTCTATATATCAAAGTAGCGCATTCCTGTGATCTGGGGCTCTATTCTTGAAAAGAAACGTATACGAAAAACTAGGAAAATACTATAGTATACGTAACGTATACTGTAATATTTCCTTAGATTTTCGTATATACGGTTCTTTTCAAGAATAGACCCCCTGAGCCGAAATGCTGACAACCTTCCTATTGGCTATTTCGATCGCCATTTCGATTTAGTCGTCTGCTAGTCGTTTGTCGTCCAATGGCAACGTTTACACCGTGCACTTAGTCCGCGACCTATACGATAGGTGTCTTTGTTTAATATACAGGATAAACAAAGACACCTATCGTATAG